CACTTTCATACTTTGTGGGATTGAGTTATATATATATTTCAGGGTTAGGATCATTATCCTGTCTAAGTTCTCTCCAACTTGGATGTACTCGTCTCTTTTTCCACCCTTATATACCACACACTTCACAGTTGGGCAATAGTATACCTGGTCATTTCCAGGAGTATCCTTCAAATGCTTTTGGGGGATACTTATGTCATTCTCTCACACTGGTCCCATCACCTAATTAATGTGGGGTTCTAGCTAATCTTGTGAGAGGAGGGAAGTACTATATTGGAAGTTATAATTTTTTTAAACTGAAAATGTATTTCCGATAGGCACTTTCCTCCGGTGCTTACGTCTTCTGTCAGACTTTGAAGTTATAGTTGGTAGAGGTGTATAGAGGGAGTCACATGCATCGTGTATGTCATGCTCGTATTGGTGGAGAAGTGATGCATGATTATTTGCATGAGAGACATGCAGGAATCATTTGATTGCATTAGGGGTGGGAGCAGATGACTTGTAGCATGTATAAAGAAGAAAGTTTGCATATAGAGGGCTGCACTGGATGAGAATAGCTAATATTTTGAGCAAAAGGAAATACTTATCGAAAATACATTTTAAGCATAGGAAAATTATAACTTTGGAACTAGTGTTCTGAAGAAATAAATTACAAGATTTTTTAATATTTAACTACATTTTTCTGTATTTAATAATTGGCTTTAAAATTTGAGTGTGTGGGGTTTTATGTAAGGACCAGATTATTTACAGTAGGTGTCTTGACTTGTTGTCATAAATTTCAACAATAAACAAATAGCACACTTGTTTTAAAATAATATATTAAAAGAAGTCAAATGTATGTACAAAAATTCATTATACTATTGGTTATTACAGTTGTATCCATAGCTTTAAATAATTGTATCTTATTTTGTCAAATTCCACACAGGCTGGTACAATTACTTTAAAACAAAATTGACAAGACAAATTATTCTTCTCTGTTATTATAATACAATCTGTGGTAATTTCACTTTAAAAATTCCCACTATATGCTATCTATGGCTAAACTCACAATTATGCAGTCTAGATCTATCTATCTCACTATTTTGAACTACATTTGCTACTTGTATGTATATCCCTACAGAGGCCAAGCACATTCCATACACTAAGATATATTATAATGCAATAATAATTAATTAAACAGTGAGAAAACTTAGAAGGTTCTAGTAACATGATCCAATAATATATCAATTGCCAATTCACAACAGTTGAACTATACAATGTATGATTCGTAAACAGAAATAAGTTTGCAATAAACTATATCTTTTAAAAATAACTAAATTTAACATTTGCACTATATGAACTATCTAAATCATAACACTCACATTAATCTCAAACTGAAATAGTCATGTATATGTAACAGAGTGGATGGACAATTGAACATGGCCTTCAATTGATTGGAAACAAATTTACTATCTATTTCTATCTGTGATACTGCTACTTATGTCAAATTATCTATAATTCTCTTCTAAAATTATTTAATATGTAAAATATGTAATTTATATTATCTGAGAACCAAAAGGAATTTGTGAAATGTGAAATTCATTCTTCAAGATTTTTCTACTTATGATTCATTAAACATGGACATAGAGGCAATTCTATGATAAAGAAAAACTAAATTGATGAAGCTTAGTTTTCCTTTTAACACTGGGAATATTGACAAACATTATCAAAGGCAAACAAATCCTGAACCATAATACCACAATCAGCCGTTGTGCTGCCTCTGTTTTCAAAATGCTCTTTTACATCTGTGTTATATAAGTATGCCATGTGTTTTGTAACTTCTTAATTTAGTATTATCCTGAATTCTTTAGTTTATTATTTAGTATGTGCAGTTTTTTGCATAACATGTGGTCAAGAAAGTCTTTAAATTGATTTGTTCTAGCTGCCTTTGTTCTTTGTCATTTCTTGAGGTAACATCTGGTCTGGCCATAGCAGATATGGCTGTAATGCTGTACATTGTGCAAGGATGTCAATAACAGTGTTTTCCAATGGTAGATCAGGTTATTCCTTTATGTTATGACCTCACTTAAATTTGAATGAAAATGACCAGTCATGTGGTTAGGGTTATCCACACTGGGTAAGCCTGGCATTACCTTGGAAGCTGATAACTTAAGGTTTAAACAAAGAAAACAGCTTACTATTTAGTGAAAGCAACTGTTCAGTGTTTTAAGCAATTATACATTCTGTGTTATAAAGTAAAAATTTTTCATTGTGTTTTACATTATGTTCAGTCTTTTTTATTTCATTTTCACAAACTCAGTTATCAAATTCCTTTTTTGTAATTCAACAGACCTATACCATTGCTTAAGAGACAATAAGCTTGAACTGAATATACCACACATTACAGTATAGCTCATATCATTTGATTATCTATTTATGCATGCACCTCCAAAAGTTTGAGGTATATGTGACACTAAAACTTGAGGAATCATTCATACCATAGTTTTCAGTGTGCTTTTACATTTATACAGTAGGTGCTGAATGAGTCACACTGAGTAAGGACATTATTTGGTTTATCAATTAGTATTTTAGTTGCATTCAAAATAACATTTTGCTCCAAATCTTTTTTAAAGTTTGAAGGCAATATTTGTAAAACAACTGTTTTTGTTAAGCTAGATATTAATTTCTTTTAACTGGAAATACATAAATTTTATCTTGATGGTAAAAATAGAGGACACTGGTTCAGGGGTGGATTGGCATTAAATGACCAGCTAGTGCAATATCAAGTGGTGCATACTGGCTAAACAATTAAAACTTAAAATCAATTTATAAGAATGTGTCAAATGCACTGGCCCACCAGGCAATTGCTGGTATCCTGGTAGGCCAATCTGCCCCTGCATTGGTTTTACTTATTTCAAACAAAACATTGAGTCCAAGAACCATCTTTTGCATCATTAGTTTGATGATACTTAATAATATTTGATTTTGTGAACTTAGAATTTGTCAATTCTAGTTTAAATCATTTGCAGCTAGGTCAAGTACATTGCAAAACAACATGAAATGATTATTTTTGTTAAACCCAATATATATGTCAAATGTTATTGTCAGAGGCATATCTTTCAGCACAAAATTTAGTCAAAATGTTGCACTGTATTGATTTTTATTCATTTTTTCCACTTTCTCAACTACAGCAACCTTTTACTCTTGTTCACAGCAATCTTAATTGGTCTATTTCTCAATTTCAAATGATGTTTCTTTCATTTGCTACACTTTCTCAACTACAAAAATCTTTTGCTCATGTCCATGGCATTCTTGATTGATCTGTTCTTCAATTTCAATGGTTATATGTTTGGGTTCAGCTATCAGTTGCCTTCTTTTTCTTCTTGAGAGTCTCATTGAGTTCACTAATGTTTGAATGGTTTTAAAATGGAAAAACAATGGTAGTTTGTTTGAAGGAATGTAAAGGTTGAAAATGCATACTTGTTATTAGAAATTATTAGTACAATCTAACTGTATAAGCATTAGCAACTTGAATTGAGGCTTGTTGTCAGCAAATACATATTCTTTGTTAGAGTAATTTATAAACTTGTGGAATATAGATTTTTTTCTAATGTTGTGATACACAAATGTGTGGTATGCTTTTAGTTTAAAATTTTGTTTAAACATTTGTTGGATAAACATACAGATGTTAAAGACTACATATACTGTTGTTTGTTGCCTTAGTTAGTTCTTATTTAGTAGGTGAAGGCATATGTGTAACCTTGATAGGCCAAATGGCGTTTTTTCTCCTTACTTTTTGTAATATATTGTAGCTTGTAAGTTACTATTTTAGCATTTAAATTTTGTTTAAGTTTAAAAGTTTTTTAAGTCAAAAATAAAGCTTGGTCATTGACATATATTAGTATTACATAAAATAATTGATTAATCTAAATATGGTTAAATTGATTAATGTCAAAAGAAGAGGGAATTTTCAATAGCCATGGCACTTGAAATTCTTTTAGGCAGGATTAGAATAAATTAATCTGTGAGACCTTGGGCATGGTCAAATACATCAATTGAAAGGGTTTGACCTCCCAAGTCCAAAACTCTAATTAGATCTCAGATTATTCAAGAGATGACAGAGCTATAAGCTAAAAGTTTGTACTTTAAAAATAAAAAAAACAACTCAGAGCCATTCAATGAGCTGCAATGCTGTGGTTAAAAATAATCACTTAATCTAATTTAATATTTCCAGTTATTACTGTTTTCAGTTATTCCAACTATCCAAGTAATTGAAATATTGCCATTATAATTTCTCATTCTTATTTTCCATTAACTCATTTACTGCTGATTTGCTGTATAGGGTATGGTCTGCCTCTGGAAATTGAATGAGAGTGTGACATATACAGAGTATGGCTTGCAAAAACTTTTCACATTTAGAGCAGCTGTAAGCAGTGGGTTAAATTAGGGTTGTTCAGCTTAATCAATTAGTGTCATGACTTACAAAAAATAATCAACTAATGAGAGAATAATAAATTTGTTGAATGTTATTGATTAATGAGTCTTATGGTTAATTTGTTAGCAAGTTCCACTAATCATCTAGCTCTGCTTAAGAGTAAAGTTTTAGAGATTATTTACTTCCATGAACAAGTTGTGTAGCTAAGTGAGACTATGAATAATTGGTGTTGCAATTCTCTTGAGATAATTTGTGCAGTCAGTTATTTTGTTTAAAAAATGAATGTATTTATATATCCTATAAATGATCAGTACACTGTTTTTGTGAACAAGTCTGTATATGTAAGTCATCTGTCAATTTCAAAATAGTCCATTTGAAAGTAAAATGCACAATAATATGATAAGTTTTGTTTGTCTCTTGTGTTTGATAACAACCTCACCTGTAAAACAGTAATTAATTAAATTTTTCACTACATGCAGATATGCAAAGTATTACAATTAAGAACTAATGTATTTATTGTACATCTCTTATTTTCAACAGTACAGTTTAGTTGTGCTTACTTCTATTGATCTTTATTCTTGTTCTATAGCTACAATGATTCACACTAATGAAGAAGTGCCAGGACAAGGAATCATTTTAAAGCCTCCACAGCCTCTGTATCTTGTATGCAACACAACTGATGATCTGTCTTTAAGTGTTGTGTGGTATGTAACTTTACTCTAACGCTTGAAGGATATATTTGCAGCTGTTAAGAGTTTGTGACCTAAGATTTTCATGAGAATAGATACTTACATATAAATATATGTATCCTGTATTCTTAATCTAGAAGTTCCTCAAAATTTGTGCTGTTTAGTTGGAAGTAAGTTTAATGTAACGTGATGGACATAACATTAATATCTGGAACTTTATTCAAAGTTTGGAAAACTGTTGGAGTCATATTTAAAAATTTGGCTAGAGTGAGTGACTGTTAGTGATTAGAAATAATTTTTGTTTCTATGAATAAATAGTTACAAAATTAGCAAATAAGTTGAATTTTTTTGACATAGTTTACTTGTAACATTAAGCCTGTCATTTGTTGTGCTTACTATGGAATTTGAAGTTGCTGAAAAAAAAATTGTTATTTATATCATTAAGTAAACTATATTTTGCTTGATTTATTTTCCCAAATAATCCTAAAGAATGTGGACAACTGTAGAAATTACAACACTGGCATCAGGAATAGGATTATTTTGGTAAAAATATAATAGAATCCTGTTTCAACTTCAATATGATAGCACATGCTTAAAGCGAGATTGAAAATTTAATGAAAAAATAGATCAAGAAGAAAGAAACCAAAAATTAAAAGAATATCAAAAAAGAAATAGACAAAAAATTAGAATAAAAGTGCAGAAAATTAGAGTGATGGCAACTTTATGATAAAATATCTATAAACTGACTTGAAAAGTGCAAGGATCAGAACAGCCACACCCCTTTGTACATCTGTTTGAGAATTCAACCTAAAACATCAATAGCTATGCAATATTGGAATAGGAGAACCCATCTGGTCTATACATGTCATCACTACATTTATGATGCCTATAACTGCAGAACCTTCTTAAGCTACTCCAGCTATACAACTACATAAAAGTTAGAGAATATAGAAGGCCTAATGAAAAATTAGACATGTCAAAAGGTACTGTGGGAGACATGTCAGGCACAATTTAAAATAATTTGCAATATATTACTTAAATTTGCAGATGACATTCAGGTCTTGGGTGTTGCTAGTCTGTGAAGAGGATTCTGCTG